GGAGCTAAAATAAAAACAGAAGAGCGATTTGAAAACCACCTATTTTTTAGTCACGAAATTTCGATTGCAGTCGAAAATGGGAATTCTCGGTTTGAGGTCAATTTCGACTACAGTCCAAGACGGTATCTAGAGGGTTAAAATGCCTCCGATTGAAACGACTAATATATGTATGAGCGCAGGGAGCAGTGAGTGAATTCGTCCTTCCCTGCCAGGGAATTTCCCATGTTTGGCCCCAATACTTGGGACATGCCCCGTAATTGTTTGCTTGAGCAAGGCATTCTATATGTTTGCCTTACTTCACCTGGGAAGGAGTATTTGGTGGGAGATGAATGAACTTGGAAGTGCTGTACATGCATAGCAAATAGGCTCCCAGACGAGAGCAAGATAAACCAGTTGGATTGCAGTTTGTGTCTGAGGGATTTATAGTATAAAATATAATTAATCCCCATGTATGTATAATAACTACTGTACACAATAAAAAAATATATTAAAAATGGAAAAAATGCACTTTCCCAAATAAAAACAAAAGCGAATTAAGCATAAAAAATCTGATGTTAGGCATTAAATCCAATTTTGCCAGTAATAACAAATTAAAAGCGATTTTCACGAGTAATTCCATTATATTTCCAAACAAAATTGATTATAATTTTGTCATCCATCCATTGTCAACTTAAAATCTTAACTTTATATTAGCTCTTTATTTTGATTTTCAAAAATATATGAAATATCATTGTCTAATGTAAATATACTTGTATAATCAAATAACATTAAAAAAAAATTTTTTTGTTTTTATAATCCTTACCAGAATTATTGCTTTAACATTAAGTTTATATTTCCTTTAATATTAAGGAATTCCACTCTTAACTAGATAGTACATAGAATGTTGATTGGTTATATAAAAAAGAAATATTACTGTCTAATATGACCACAATATAGGGAAATCCACTCTAAAAATGATCGTAAATAGTTACAGATAATTTCGCTTTTTCAATTTATATTTCCTTAAATCATAAGGAAGCCCACTCTTAAACCAGATAGTGCAAAGAATTTTGACTAGTCATCAATCGAATACTGTATATCCAAATTTGAAGAAGGATCTAATATGACCACAACATAAGGAAATCCACTCTTTAAATGATCATAAATAGTTACAGATAATTTCACTTGTTCATTTTATGACCACACCTTTGAGTCATGGTCTTATTCTTAATAGACGAAGAATAAGTAAACTTAGCAACATTTTTTGGGGTATATGATCAATTAACATCATCATAGATTGCATCTACAATAAGCCCCTAAGCCAAAAATGGATAAAATCCTCTTCCTTTACCATTAAATTGTAAATACAGTATTTAAGATTTTTTTTTTAAATCACAAAAAAGAATCAAGAAAATTTTGTATTTGGTGAATTGGATTGGATTTATTCGGTGTAAACACCAAGGATAGCCCACGAAAGTCTAGAAGAAGACTTATTTCCAGTGGGATCCTTCTGGTGGTGATTGGGCAGTACACCGGGAAACAATCCCCTACTCTTTTCCGAAGCGTGTACTGCGTTCTTTAACGTGCACACTGGACCAACGGCTTAAACATCTCATCCGAAAGACGGTGTGCTATTGTAACTTGTATTTCAGCCCTGAAACACAAGGAGAGGCAGCGATGGAAATTGAACCGGGGACCTAGAGATCTCCACGGTTCAGCGCACACACAGTGGCTACCACCAGATTAGCCGACTGAGCTAAACTGCTCTCTCTACATTCTTGATGGACATGAAAATGTGGACCTTTTCAATGTTAGTGGGGTGTGCACACACCCATTGCACCCCACACCCCTACCAGTGGTTATACAGCCTACAAAACTTCACTTTTTACTTGCCAATTATTGAAATAATACAGTATAATACACTTATTAATTAGATATCTTGTTAATTTTTGTTTTTAAATTTGGTCCTGTCGTTGCCATGTTCATAGCCAAGGGGATTCCCGGGTTAAGTGTTTTTTTGACAATGATGATAATGATGATAATGATGATGACAATGAAAATTTTAGAATATGGACCTTTAGGTGCCCGGAAATTGCACTCTCACACTTTTAAAATCTTAACAGTACAATGATCATAATCATAATAATAAACAATACAATACAACAATTATTTTTCTTAATACAATTTAGGGGTGAGTGGAGCCTCGCATATAATCACCAACATCACAATGTGATACAAACTTAAAAATTCACAATTTTTTTTTTTCCTTCAACATTTCAATTATGTAAATCGAACTGTACATTTTCAGCTAGTGTTTAAGATTGAAACTATATTATTTAGTTATTTAGACTAATTAGTCATAGCGAACAAACCCTGATTGTTTTCAGAGGGTTATCAAAAGATACACATGTGGCTTTGCAATCGTTGTGATCGGCTGATTAGTTAGGCCTACCTTGTTTAGAGCTAGATGTAAAATTAGTTTTCAGTAACTTACCTAGCCATAACCTTCTAGCAGTTTAAATTGCACTAGGGTTATTTATTATTATTACACATGCAGCAAGTTTGGAATTATTAGTTGAAACAAAATGATTTAAGCAGAATTAGCCTAGCTTGTAGGCCTATGAATCACACTTGACTATAATGGTTATACATAGGCTAAAATACGGTTTGTGCTTTAAAAACGGAGAGACACAAACTTCACCCTACCTGTAAACAACATAGGCTGTGTTTTTTCTGATCGTTTTCACAAACAGACACAAACTGTTCACGCTAATTAACAGGTTAATTAAAGATAAGAAGAGAAAACTAAATGGAACATATGAATTGTTTAATGCCTTATCTTAAAACGTATGTAAAAAACAATAAAAATTTCGATATCTTAATAGTGAAATTTACTGTTTTATGAACTAGTCCACTTCACATGCGTTTTCCTCAAATCGCTGTTTTGGTCGAAATTGAAGTTTGTGTCTCTTTGTGTCTCAATTAATTGCCAAAACAGTACCCACTTACATCTATACACTTTACCTCTAGGCAACAATATCGCCATGGCCATATAATCTTCATTCATCTGGTTATTTTGTCTTCGTATACCTCGGTCTAATAAAAATGCTGGTGATAAGGCCTTTTCAATTGCTTCACCTA